ACTTTTCGTTTCTGGCCCCGCCCACCACTTGCATTTGACTTGTGGAGAGTTGCCCAGAAGGGAGTTTGGTCCCCAGGTGGAAAAAGTCCCCTACCAAGAGCTGGCCTGCCCAAGAGGCGGATGAGATGGCTGCCTCAGGCGGCACGCCCAGGAGATAGCAAAGCCCCACTGCCTGGCGGGAGACCCCTCTCTTCTGCCCGGGGGTGGGGGAGAGATTCCACAAGGGCTTCTCCTTGAGTTTTCCCCCCACAGCCCATTGCTGAGGTGACCGCAGGACATTTCAGCTCAGGTCCCAAAACACCTTGGATTGCCCCTATCCTCCATCCCCATGATCTACATGAGTTTTAAAGAGAGGGTCTTTCCCAGCCCTATCTGCCTTTGCCAAAGATTGAACCTAGGGACCTTCTGCATGCAATGCATATGTTCTGCCACTGAGCTACCATCCTGACTTTAGAGTTTTGAAACAAATGGAGTCTTCTCTTTAATCAGTCAGCACTTTTTCAATGATTTTATGGTTTTCAACATGTTGTTGTTGTTTAGTCGTGTCCGACTCTTCGTGACCCCATGGACCAAAGCACGCCAGGCACTTCTGTCTTCCACTGCCTCCTGCAGTTTGGTCAAACTCATGCTGGTAGCTTCAAGAACACTGTCCAACCATCTCATCCTCTGTCGTCCCCTTCTCCTTGTGCACTCCATCTTTCCCAACATCAGGATCTTTTCTAGGGAGTCTTCTCTTCTCACGAGGTGGCCAAAGTATTGGAGTCTCAGCTTCAGGATCTGTCCTTCCAGTGAGCACTCAGGGCTGATTTCCTTCAGAATGGATAGGTTTGATCTTCTTGCAGTCCATGGGACTCTCAAGAGTCTCCTCCAGCACCATAATTCAAAAGCATCAATTCTTCGGCAATCAGCCTTCTTTATGGTCCAGCTCTCAGGTTTTCAACATACCAGATGCTAAATACCAGCAAGAACCTCTGGAATCTTGCTAGTGCTTTGCACAGAGTGAGGGTGATGCCCAACCTTTGTAACACCGCAATTGCTCAGTATTGTCTACACCGATTGGCAGCAGTTCTCCAGTATTTCAGCCGGGGTGTGTGTGTTCCCAGTCCTTCCTGGAGATGCTGGGGACTGACATCTTGTATGCAAAACAGATGCTTCACCACTGAGCTACAGCCCTTCCCCACTCCACCTATTGTGCTAAGAATGCCCCCTTAACCTCTGGTTTTCTTCTCTTGCTCCTCCCCTGCTGAAACAGTCTGCTGCTCTTATCAACGTTCTTTTAATTCCCCTCAAAACACCTACAGATGTTTCACCCACAAAGGGCCTTCTAAATTCACCTTGAATTTCAGAGCAGAGCTGTGTGAAGATCTCCTGCCAAATTCCATGAAGGTTATCTTTTAAACTTCCTGCAGAGGACCTTCAAAGAGGAAGCTGCCTTTTACCAGTCTGGGGTAATTTTCTACTTAGCCTAGAATTGCCTCCTCCGGCTGTCTGTGGTTCTCCTGGGTCTCAGGGTGAGACAGGTCTTTCCCGACACCTGGCTACTATGTAAACTCTTTTTAACCAGAGGTGCCAGAGACTGAACCTAAGTGAACCTAACCTAAGAGCTCTGCAACTGAGCCATGCTCTCCCCCTGTGTTATGCTAGCACAGCACTCTCCCAGTTGGCTTCTGTAGGTCACAACCGGTGATCTCAGAGTTAAAAGGGGCTGTGATGGCAAATGGATTTGCCACTGAGCACTGTGGAGTCAACTGTTGTTTTCTCCTTCCTTCCTGCTCCTGAATGTGCCTGCTTTGCGCCAGGCCCTTTGGCACCAGTTCCCCTCTATTCTGTCCCGGCCAACTGCTTGGCGTTTCAAGGTTGCGTGCGTGTGGATGTGTGTGCCGCTTTGATTTGTGCTTTGTGAATCACACGCGTGCAGCCCAGAGTTGCGACAGAGGCTGCGTTTAATCTCTCACTCTTCACAAAGGGAGCGGGGATAGGAGGCGATTAGTGGGATGAGAGCTTCTTTTTGAAAGTCAGAAGCGCTGGGTCTTGGCGAGAGAATTAATGAAGCCGTTGAATTATGGATGGACTTTGAGAAAGTAAACACATCCAGAGCAGGTTGGGACTGGCAATGTAGCGTAGCTTGGTGTTCCATCGTCTGGACCTCTCTTTCTCTCCGCTGCCTTCATCCTCTTTCATATTAAGCTTCTTGTAGCTTAGCAATGCAGCTTAGAGCACAGGGGAGGGCATGTTTTATTCCAGGAAGATGAGGAAAGGAAAATCCATATAGAAATGATTTGAGGTTACAATTGCATTCACTCTTTTTCAATTCAGACTACATCTGAAAATCTGAGAGAGAGACTGTGTTGTTGTTGTTTTGTCTGCTTATTCCTAATCAGAACTTCACAAAATGTTCACCGATGCACTTTTAGGGGAGAAAACAGTGCCCCCACCCCAATTTATATATTGTAGAGAGATGGAGGTTGGTTCTTCTGGATCACATACCCTCCAAGTGTCTTGATTTTCCAGGGATGGTCACGAAATTACATAAGCCGTTCTGGTTTCTGATTCCAGAATGTCTCGCTTTTTCTTTTTTCTACACTCCACATCTCGTAGAACAATTAGAAGTGGTGTTTGGGTGTAAAAACGGAGTCCCGTTTATCCTGAAAATAAGATACCCACACCAAATGGAGGGAATGTTGAAGCTGGCATACAAAGCCCATCCTATAATTTTGAAGGGAAAGGTAACCAATCCACTTTAAATTCTTCAGTTGCAAGGCTTCTGCAGCCAGCTGTTTTGGGGGGAACAAGGGGAATGCTGGTTCCTTTATCTGTAGAAGGTGTTGCACACTATCCTTTCCTTTGCACATTTTTTCTTTACAACAACCCTGTGAGGTAGGTGAGGTAGAGAGGTTGTCATTGGGTCAAGGTGACCGATGTAGATGAGTATATGATGTCTTATGTGTTTGGGAGATCAAACGCAGGAGAAGCTTCCTGATATAGAATAGAATGTTCCTATTTTCATTGGAGAAATGTTGGAGGATATGTGATCAGGGCTGTCCAACACACAACACACTAGCCAAGGGCCACATGCGGCCCTCAATGACTTTTTGGCAGCCCTCACACTGCCTTTCCAAAGCCAGGTAAGCAAGGCGCTTGGCTTTGGGAAAGAGGCATGAGGGCTCTGATATGGTCCCAGAGTCCTCCATCGTCTTCCTCAAAGCCTAGTTAGCACTTTTCCAGCTGTGGGAAGAAGTTGGGAGGGCTGTAGGACCTTGTCAGAGCCTTGCGTCTCTTTCCCAAAACCTGGCACCTCACTTATCTGGCTTGGGAAAGGCAGCATGAGGGCTGGGGGGAGGGACAACCACTCCTTGCTCCTCCGCAACAAGGCAGTGTGGGGCCTGTAGGACTCTTGTGGCTCACTTGGTATGAAAAGTTGGTAAATCCCTCAAGGACTGCCCCCCCCATGACTCTGCTTGTAAAAAGAGGTCAAACCAACTGGAGAAGTTTAACCAGGCAGATTTCCTACTTTTATGGAAATTATTTGGGTGGTGGCTCTCCTCAGTGATGACCATGGACTGTTTTGGAAGGGTTATCTTTGTGCCAACCCTAAGAAATGTACCAATCTGGGTGATTGGAGGGTGTGAGAAGTGAAGAATGAGAGGTCGGAGGAGGAGGCTGTAGTGGATCTAGATTCCAGGAACTGGACATTGAGACAGTGGGAACTGCTTTACTGCTAAGTATTGACTTGGGTAGGGAAATGGTCCAGACTAGGTTCTGAATGATGCCTTTTCTTAAGTTATTTTAGTTTGCCCTTGTGCCTAACTCTTCAAATGCTTTTAGAAGTATCCCCTCCTCTCTACAATATAATCACAATAATTCTTCAGATGGCTGTTATATACAAACCTTATTATGGCATGGCTTTTCCATTATTATGGAAAAGGCAGATAGAGAGAAGCTGTCTTCTTTGTCTCTTAATGCCAGAACTTGGGGCCATTCCACGAAGCTGAATATTGGAAGATTCCGGGCAAACAAAGTGAGGCACTTGTAGTTGAAATATGGAATTAACTACCATGGGTTGCAATCATGGCCACCAACTTGGACAGGGAGATTAGACAAATGTGTAGAGGCTACAGACCATCCATGGCTACTCCCCAGGATGGCTATGTTTCCCTACCACTGTCAGAGGCAATATGCCTCTGAATCCCAGTTGCTGAGAACGACAAGTGGGGAGAGAGCTATGGTACTTTTGTCCCACTTGTGGACTTCTCAGAGGTGCATCTGGTTGGCCACTGTGACAAAAGGATGCTTGACTAGATAAGTCTCATCCAGAAGCAAGGCTCTTCTCATGCAATGTTTAGTAGAACCGAATTTTGTTTTGTTTTGACTCTGCCTAAACCCTTATTGTTCACCCTACACCTAATTGCATTCCCCCACTATCCAGTACAGAGAAGTGGTTGGTCCAGCCAAGATTAAAGGTCTGCTGGGAGTGGAGACAGTCAGGGAATAAGGATGCTCACTTGATGGCTGCGGTGAGGATTGAGAGGGGGGGAGGTGGCTCAGCAGTCTTGCATGCCTCCCGTCCTCTCTTGGTGCAGGCTTCAGCCCCTGCTGTGGCTGCAGGCAGCTCATCCGAGCATCTCAGCTTTCAGGAATGTGAACTGAATGGGTGATGTGAATGCCGTCACTTTCAATGACTACCTCACAGGCCTGTTTTGAAGATGTGTGACATAACCGTAAGCCATTTGTGCACTGAAAAGTGTGATAGAATTACTTAATGTCTGCCCTTCTGACCCCAATAAACCACTGCTGAGGTGCTGATTTAAAACGAATGGCACAATATATCTTAACTTAAATATATCCAGCTCCATTTTCAGTTTCTTGGGCCTTTCATCGCTATCCATTTTCATTGTTGTGTTTGGCGTACAAAGGGGGGTGCCATTTCCCCCCCAGGAAATGCAGGACGCTGCCTTACATTAAGTCATCCACCTCAGCATTTTCCACACTGACTGGCAGCAATACTCCTCCAGGGGTCTTTCTCAGTCCCATTTGGAAATGCCTGGGACCTTCTGCATGCAAAGCAGATGCTCTACCACTGAACTAAGGCATTTTCCTGAAGCCATTGAGCCTTGTAGCCTGTTACTGGTGGCAGCTGATGATGCTGGAAGGAACTATCAGCGAGTCACATCTCTGGCGCCTGGGGGATGGGCTGGATCTTGTGGGTAAGAGAGCTTGAAGGGAAATATCATGCCTTATCTATTCATTAGCCTATGGAAACTCCATTCCAGGTGTGCAGGCCCCATTCTTGGTGAGCTCCTTGGGATATTCTGCCCAGGTGTCAACATGTAACTGAAGGATCTTGCTTAGAGTCCCCCAGGGGACCTTTTAGATTCAGGAATACAGATGGAGGTGAGCTGGAATGGATGGACTTTATCCAGGGGCAATTATTCTGAAGTTTCTTAATCTTTCAGAGTGCCCAAGCACTTCTTTCTCCACAAATATTTAGGTGAGTTCTGAGAGGAGAAAAGCAGGTCTTCTCCTGAGAGCTGAGGGATATGCGAGGAGTTGGTTTGTCCGCTGAACCAGCTTTGCTACCTCAGAACTAGGAATGGAAGAAGGGAGTGATTTCCATCTTGACCTGTATTCATCACAATAAGTGCTGTTTCCATTCTGCTGCAGTTTGGTTTCTTCCAAGCACTATATTATTCATATTGCTGGTTGCAAATTAACATGTCATATATCTATTTATGTAACTTATGTTCATTTCAATATAAAGGAACCAATAATAATAATAATAATAATAATAATAGTAACAACAACAACAACAACAACAACAACAACAACAACATGTTGTTTGCAGATTTAAAAATGTGAGTGAATGACAGGAGTATTCTCTTGACTGATTTCCAATTCTAACTGTAGACGAACATGAGGACTACAACAATTTCCACTTCCTTTTGTGTTCTCATCATCATTGCCTGACATTCCTCTTCAGAACTAATGTTTTTCCCACCTGAGTTTCCCCCCATTTCTACAGTTCCCCAGTCTGCTGCTACCTCTGCCTCTTGTGCCTTGCCTTGGGGACAGTAAAGTGAGCATGAGGGTTCCCCCTACAGTGGTGGCAGGAAAGTCCAATTACATTTTAATTAAAGCCCCAAATTAAGACCACAGATTTTCAAAACGGAGCTGTCAGTTCCCAAATAAAACTATGCTTGGCTTAAAGAGAAATGGCTGTTTCTGACTCTCTCAGAGCAGAGCCAGAACCACCAGAGATGTTAACTAAGGGAATATAACAGTGCAGGGATCCAATTAAAAGCAACAGATGACTCTACATGGGTGTTTGCAACTTTATGCCATCATAACTGGTTTCAATTTAACAGGGACTAATCTGCCTTCTCTTTCCCAAATGCCTATGAATACTGGATGTGAGAAATCAAGATCATTGGGAGAAACAATAAAAGATACCCATAAACAAAAGGTCTTTTTCTCACATGAAAGAAAGGGATTAAATGGAGCTGGTGGGAGGCTGATGAGATAGGGAGGCCTGGTGGAACACATTCTACCTGTCTCATTTGGGGATGGTAGAGCGTGATAACTGGGTCTCCAAAAGGCCTTTGAGCAAGCACCTCTTAATCTGTACATTATTCCTTTTCTTCCACAGGACTAACAAAAAGTGACTATTTCATGGTGTCCTACCTCTTCTCCAAGGAGCTTAAGGTGTTATCAACATCCTCATTTTACCCACATAATGACCCTGCAAGTAGATTAGGCTGAAAGAGAGTAAGCGGCCCAAGGTAGCCCAGTGAGCTTCATGCCTGAGTGGGGATTTGAACCCTGGTCTCTGAGGATAGGGCCTTTTTCTGCCAGAACATCCCAGAGCACAGTTCCAGCACCTTTTTTTGCACTGCTTTGTCCATGAAGTTTCTCAGCAAGCAAAGGTAGTCCCTCACTGGTGAGGTGCACAGGACGGTGGCTGAAGTGGCCTAAGTGGGTGGCGGGGCAAGTGGTGAGCAGCAAGCTTACTGTGATTTTGGTTTCAAGAGGGTGGTCCCGTCGTCTGGGTTGGCAAATGAGGCAGTGAGTTCTAGCACCTTTTTCCCTAGAAAGAAAATGGCACTGTCTCTGGCCATTGCCTCCCCAAATTCTTACATGTCCAATTTTCACAATGGTCCAATTTTCCAGTGGTCACCAATTGTTTTGGGCTCATTTGCAAACCGGAGAGGCTGTTGTGGACACAACACACACACACACACACACACACACACACACAGAAACCAAGCACATATCTCAGCCTACATAGCAGGTAGAGAGGATTGTGGGACAAAGTGCTGCTGCAGGTGCCGGAGAAGGCCTCTGTGGGCACTTGTGTGCCTGCAGGCACCCCACTGGCTAGCTGAATGTGTGTGGGGCTGGGCATCAGGGCCGCCGGTGGAATGGTGGTAGGTGGGAGTGTATTGTGTTACGTATTCAGTGGTCTGTGTTCGCCTGAGCTTGAGTTTGGACTAAGGATTCTTAGCCCCAGTGTTCTGATTTGATACATGATATCCAAATCACAGACCATTTCAGGATTTGGGCCTCTGCCATTGGCCCTTACGATTCGCAGCTTGGAAGTTTAGGCAGCCAATCACGTTGGGAGTGGGAGTGGCCCAGGCCTTCAGAAATGTATATAAGCACTTGCTTTGCCCCTGCTGTCCAGTTCTGTTAGTGCAATAAAGGTTCTTGCTGTTATCACTGTGTCTTGCCTTGTGGAAACCCACCTACACTTCATATTGCATGGGGGCAGAAGTGGTGAGGGGGGACCTGAGCTGATGGGGACAGTTTACAGATGCTGACAAATGGGACGGCTCAGCACCCACCTGTGAGAGGGCAAGGCCAGATTATGTTGCTCTCTTTGTTAATGCGATTTTCGGTGTGTAATTTGCTTTTGTAGCTTCTTGTGGATCAAAGGTATTTATTTCACACACAACACATCAAACATTCATTGAAAACCCTGATCTCCATGTCGGCTTGGAACATGCGGAGCTGGTGATGGAACTTGGAAATCCCCAGAGTGGATTTCACGGGTGCTTGTCGTACAGTAGTTGCTCTGCCCAGCCTCCTGCTCCAGGCTGTTTGCTCTGCATACGCAGCTCCATCTGAAGCAGCATCAGGATGTTCTGTTCCAGTTTCCTGGCCTCAATGCTCCCCCCCCCTGCCAAAGGCTTTATGGTTCAGCACTTAAGAGAGTCCAACAAACAAAACACAGAGGGATAGTATTTTTTATAGCTGTCAAGCAAGGGGTAGGCATATCCTCTAGGCTTTTCTCCAGTTAAAGAGATTACTGATGCTTACATGAGCATTGATGGCTGGTGGCTACTAGCTCTTGTTTCTCACCTGACTGGGTCACTTTGGCAGGCTGGAATGTATCTAGCGACGGAGTTATTTTTTGGCCAGACTAGTCTCAGGGTGACATTAAAAATCCTGACTTTCTTCGTTAACTAATGCCTCAGTATTTAGAGTGATTAAAATCAGCATTTGTTATCATGTAGGACAGAAAAAGTTAATCTTAGAAAAACCATATCTTCTCTGACTGGCTTTTAAAAAACCTGTCCCTTGCTTTCTTTGTGGCTCAATTCCCCCGCCAAAAAAACCCCTAAGAGTGGGACTGCACTCAAGAGATTCTGCTATTACAGGGTACATTTTTTGTTTCTTCTTCTTTATTATCTGTCAGCATTTTCCTGAGAGCAAAGTAGGTTGGCTGCGTACCTCTATGCCCTAAGTTATGGTTATAAAATGGACATTTACATTTAGAACCTTGTAATTAACCCAGGTATGAATCTAGTCTGCCCATGGCATAGGGAGCCATTTTCCTTTCTTGTAAAATTCCGAGTTAATTTGACCTCCAGATTTGAATGTTCTACACTTCCCTATTCTTTTAAAAATACATTCTGATAAACAGATGCTTTCATTTTATAGGAGAAACTGAGGTACCTCCAAATGCCTAGAAGACAACAGTAAGGAAATTACAAAGACTCATTCTGAGTAACTGCAAAGTAATTACTACCTTTTAAATATGCTGTTTTATTTGAAGAGGAAAACATCTGAAAGTACAAAGGTAGGAAGCTGGTAAAAAACAACAAACTTGGTTTCCCTGAGGTTCTCCATGAAATGGTTCTCTGCAAATGCTCAGAGGCACTCTATTTTAATTAAAACTTCATGTTTTGATGCACACATTAAGTCCTGCCATTAGAACTGAATGTAATCATGAGGAGCAAAATACCTGTAACTTTGCCAGCTGTGTTGCTGATCAATTTTCCCCTCAACATTAAAATACACAGTAAAAATGCTCACGGTATGATGTGCATGGGATTGATGGAGTGTTAATGGAGGGGTAGTACCTCTGGTGGGGGACACGCCATGTTCCTTCTGGCATAGCTGTAGAGGGAAGTGAGGGGCAGATGGGGCTCATCAACCTGGGAAGGTAGCCCATCTAGGAAAAGGAAAACTCTGAACCTAAACCTCTGCTGTGGCTATATTCATTCATGATAAAGGCTTTGGGAGTAAATCCCAAGGAAAAATCCATACCCTCTGTCTTGTGGGACATCTTCAGGAGAAGAAAAGTCTAGGGAATAAACACTATACAAATCTGGAGTGGAGTCCTTAAGATAGTTGCATGGTGTTTTGTATGCCTCCTTCCGGCATCTTCTGTGGCCAAGCTGGTGCCAAATGCTTTGGTCTGCTTTTCTTTGGACCACATCAGCGATGCTGAGAGGGAGGTCTTGTCGTCTGGGCAGCCCAGGACCTCCATACACATTGCCCAGGCTTGCGCCTCAGAGAGGTCTCTTTGGTGCTGCTAACGCAGCAAAAACAATGCCGGAGGAAGTAGTTATGAGTTATCAGTCTCTGCAGTCACAGCAGTTGCTGTCATTCTCCAGTGGTTTGACTTCAGCCCCAGAGGTGTACTCCATTGTCTCGAGACAGATGGATGCCAACAATGATATTAATGTGTGTGTGTTTGTGTATTTGCATTTAGAGTTCGCATATTGCACTTCTGTGCAGAGACACACTTTGTATCTCACCATGGGCTTCCCTGGGTGAGTGCCTGGAACCCCTGGAATCTCAGACCTCTCAGAGATTGGGGTGGCCTGCAACAATATCATGTTTCTTCTAGTACTATATGTCTTGGGAGAGATTGTTCTTGCATTTCAAAAATGCCACGGCAAGGCCAAAAATTTATTATGTCTGATTGTAGGAAGTTTGTGGACACAGAGTTTCCTTCAACATTTCCGTTTCAAATTGCCTGCTTGTTTCTTTACATACCATTAGTATTATTATTGTTATGGGTGACGGTATTTTGAAAGACCTCCTGCATTATTTACATGTTTCCAAATGGGCTGCAAAGCCACTTTATATAATTACTGCTTCTCAGGCACTCTATCGTGTAGAGTACAAACAGCAACACCTTAATTAACTTCTTTTGGCGAGAAAACTCATTCATGTTCCCTGCTATCAGAGAACAACGTGTTTTGGAATTTGATCTTGAGAAGGAGATGACAGCTAGGGACATGGTAGTGTTTGTTGACATTCTCCAGGTTCTCTAAAGATGCACAAAAAGGGTAGCCATGACATGAACGTGACCTGACATGGATGGCGCCATAGTTACATGGATCTCTGTACTTCTAGGGATCAAAACACCTTGCACAATGACTTCCGTACCTTGATGAGGTCCAAGATTGCTGAATGCCCCCTTTTCTAGCTGTGCTTTATTTTTACAGAATGGAGATAGGCTTTTTTCCTCAAACAGAGTTGAAGGGAATTTGAAAGAAGGATCACAGCGCATCCCACTTTTGCTTCCAGTCAACAGTTTTAAAAAATGACAATAAAAAAACCTGCCAATTCTGTTTGCCTGATGATGAGAGTTGTCATGACACTGCTGAAGTGTGGCAGAAACTTAACTTCCCTGGTTCAGCTCCTCTTCACCACAAGCCCATTACCAACTCCCCTGATGTTTGGGCTTAACTCATAATAGGTTCCACCTGTTGTGATTCTTGAGTGTCCTCCCCATTGCTGCCCTGCCCCCTCTTCCATCTCCCCACCCATTTCCAATGCATGGCAGCAGGGATGTGGAAGAATCCTATGGGGAGTTTCAATTAGGCCTTAAAGCAGGCATGCATGGGAATGACACGTAAGAAAGGTGTAAGAAATCCATCCATCCAAGATGGATGTGACCCAGACAGTACCACGGTTTGTAAGGCATATTCCAGCTGGGCAAAAGCAGGTGTGGAACTTGAGGGGAAAGGGTGTAGCCTGATAAAGGTTTCCAAGGTCGAAGCAGAGAGTCTTGGAGTGGCACTACATTCAGCCCCTGGGTCTGAGGTTCTCCACCCCTGCCTTAATGGCACAGGCACAGTACTCAAGGCTGCCAGAAACCATGTGGGTGGGGGGATGTAGCCCAAGCTTTCACTGAGATGGCCACCCTGTGTTTGAACTGCACGACTTCAGTTTGCTCACAAGGCTGAATGCTCCTCCAGAAAGAAATATTCTGTCCACATAAATACTAAATGTTGTGCAGGGAGGGTCCGCGGCCTCACCTAGTTTTCAATAGGTAAAAATATTTTCTTCTGGGGGCATTTACCTGCATTGATGTTGCTGAAATTCACAATCACCACCTCAGATTTGAACTTGGCCAACTCAGAATATGTTCTTTTCAGACTCACAGTGCTTGACCGCATTTCTGATTGAGTGGCATGTAACTCCCAGAGTTTTTGGCTCAGAATTTAAATTGAGCTGTCCCTCCTCCTCCCTCCACACTCGGGGGATTTAGTTCAAGCATCCTAAAAATTACACATTCCTGAAGTTTCCTATCCCTATCCTGGGTTCAGCAGTACATCAGGGACACAACTCTGGGGTGGTGGTGGTGGTGCTGGTAAGGATTCAGGTGCCCTAGAAAACTGCATTTTCCAGCAAGTCACTGTTATCCATCAGCTGTGGTCCTGCATTCTCTGGGAAGGTCAGGGGATCTCTGGATCGGTGGTCTCAACATCCCCAACATTGCCACAACTTCTCAGTGCTGCAGTGGGGAGTGCACCTCACTGTGCCCCATCCCTGTGAATGCAATGCTGCCACCACTGTGAGATCACTGCTGCTGCTCCAGCCCCCTTCATGAATCCCCACTATTATCATCCCTGACCCTGGGAGAGCCTTTTGCCTGAAACCCCAGGGAGCCACTTTCAGTCAGTGTAGATAATCGCATTGTGTGGTATATTGCTCATGGTTTCTAGCAGCCCAGGACACTGTCCTCTTAGGTCCAATGGAGGCCTAAACCAAAGCCTCTCTGCTTCCCGTGAGTCTTCCACGGTCTCCTTGCCATGTACATGTGGGTGCTGAAGAGAAGGGGTCACAAACAGAGGGTCTGTCTGGGATGCTGACAGACCTATTCTGCTCCATGAATTTCTCCAGTCCTTTTTTAAAGTCACCAGAACTAATGGCCACCACCAGCACCACATCTTGTGGCAGTGAACCCCATAAACCAATTACGCATTGTGTGATGTATTTCCTTGGTCCTGAATTAGCCCACTGCTGGTCAGTTTCATTGGGTGAGCCTGAGTTCCAGTACTGAGAGAGATATTTCTCCCTCTGTGGTGACTGACCATAGTATAATCTTCCTCCATTACTCTTCCCAAATGATGATGTCCAGTCTGATGATGTCCGGTGCTAGAACAGAGCTGATAGCTGGCCTCTGCTGGATTCATAATCTATCTTTCTACTGGATTATAAACTAGCTGCTAGCACAATGGAAAATGATTTCCTCTGTATAAAATGATCCTCCACCTCTACCTCCTCCTCTTGATTTGTCAGGGATAGACACCTCTGCGTGTTGTTGTCTGTAGGATGTGGGGATACCTGCTTGTTTTCCTAGCCTGGCAGCCACATATATCCCTCACAAGACGCAGGTGACACCTTGACACTGACAAGTCCATCTGTCACCCATTTGCCAACAGTCAGCCGCCACCACCACAGGACTCATCTGTCAAGCAGCTCCAGTACTGATATGATGCGTCTGCAAGGCCACAACTGCCTGTCAGTGGACTGACTTCTCTAGAACATCGCCGCCTTAACCCTGCCTCATTGTGACAGCTTGAAGCCTCAGGCTGGACTCTCAAGTGCAGTCAGAGGTGATGCTGCTTCAAGGCAGACGATCCTCAAGGTGAAAGGGGTCTCATTGTAACAGGAATATGGACAGTGAAAACAATCCAGAGATAGTTTTGAAGACATGTGCATCTTTGTGTTTCAAGCAGCATTCACACTCCAGATCCCTGTTACTATTTCTAAGAGTAGCTTGATACTAGCACTTTTATGTTGTTGGAACTATGGTTTTTCTTCATATGTGCACCTCTTACTGCTTTTCATTTATTTTCTTTCTTTTTTAAAAATGCTCAGATAAACACTATCATATCTTAATATGGTTCAGATATCCTAGTGTTGCACCAGCACTTTGGGGGGAGGGGAGAAGTTGAAAGTAAATGGAGAAAAGAATCACACATTTTATTAGATGTGATCCTAAACTGATTTCTCTTATACTGTTGGAATATTCTGTTAATATAAGCAACTATAAAAGGTGCGCACACAAAATGAAATATTATCCTATGTACTTTATTACTATTATATTATGATTATTACTATTCTCATAATTTTTTCTGTTCTGCATCTCCTCCTACTGTTTTTAATTTCGATTATTGACAGTGCAAATGTAAACGTCAATGCTTTTGGAAGGCAACAGTTGACTTTCAAGCATCTTAAGAAGGCCAGATTAAAAATAACCCATAAAACTAAGTTTTATATCATAAATCACTTTTTAAATGAAAGCCTTTAAAGAGTTTAGGGACACCACTCTGGAGCCTCTGATCATACTGAAATTAAGTTTGCTCTTTAATACTAACTCTCTCCGATAAACCATTTTAACGCATTAACATTTCAGTCATCCAAGTAACATTCATAATACAAGCACTCACTGAAATGCGAAAGTTCAGCTAGCAGACCCCCAAGATTGGCAGCATTTAGGCAATTATCATTCTGTTTTTCAATTCTGAAGATGAGATGTTCACATTTTTACCCAGTGGGGAATTTGAGCTGCACTTTACCACCTCCTAAAATGCAGTTCTTTTAAGCTAATATTATTCAAAAGGCAGTTGGCGGCCCTTAGCCTATTTGTTTGATTGTGCTGGAGCAAGACACTGAATTTTGCCTAGAGCAAAAACATGAAACGAAATTTGGTGAGAATGTCCAAGGGATTTCAAGGGAAGCACCAAGAGTGTAGAGAAGACCAGGGCTGTTCGTAGTGGGATTTGAAATAAAAGCCCTGAAGCTGGATCAGGCCCAGCCCAGCATTATGTTTCCAAGGTGACCAGTCAGATGACTCTGGTAATTCCCCAAGCGAAACAAGAGGGCAACAGCCACCTGCCAACATCCCAGAGTTGTTATCAAGTTTTGCCTGAAGGAAGCTGAGGCACATTTTGAAATAAAAAAGCCTATTTAAGAGATTGCATAAACAAACAATTTATTTCCATGTGCTTTTATTTTAATTCCTGCCTTTAATGTTGTTTACGCCTTTTTTACTGCTGTTATATCAGTCTTTTTTATCAGTCTGGAAAAGTCCATTTATTATTTTGAGTGTTGCTTTATAACAAAAGCTGTTTAGAAGTGTCGTAAGATTTATAGTATAAGTGAAATAAACAAATGCAGCTCATTCTCAACCTTTATGGAAAATTAACCTGAGCATGTTTAAAGCCTGAATTTGTGAAATTCAGCCTTTGCTAACCTGGTGCCCTCCAGATGTTTTGGAGTATAACTCCCATCAGTCCTTGCCAGCCCAAAGCTGTATGCCAAAGTTGGCAAAGGCTGGATTGTAACAGTATTTGCACATGTTCCTCCATGTGCCTCTTCCCTTCTTCACCTCCACTTTCAAAACTTAGCTTGGGAACTTCTTGGAGAAGAACCTGCCTTATGTTGCTCTGGAATATTACTAGTTATATAAAGACTACCACTATTAATTTTTTTTCAAATAGTGTACTATCAAATACCAGAACTGAATATCAAATGCCACACCAAAATTTCATATTTGGTTCATATTTTGACAAATATTTGAATATCTAGTGAACATTTCATAGCAACAGTCACTGAGGAGAAATTTCTGAGCTCAGATTCATTGACCATTGACATCATAGGCACTACAAATCACACATTCATGTTTTTGGGTCAAATCTGACCTTCTCCATATGACCGACAACCTTCTCCAGCAATTAGTTTGGCTAAAATGACAAGTTTAAGGGGTGGAGAGAAAGAAGATAATTAATATCTGAGGGAGGTCAAGAACCCTGAATGTGTGTGTGCCACCACTACAGCTAGCATCACATTTTATGTGTGTGACTCCTCATAAATTTTTATCCTGTCAGTAAAGTCTCCTGTTTTAAATGGTATTTAGATTTTATATCCCACATTTTACAAGTAATAAAAAGCGCAATGGCTTTGGGGGCTCTTTAAGCACCACAGATAATGAGGGGAGACTGGGAGAACTGCCAGAAATAGAAACTCCCTCTTCTTCTTCTCCTCAGCCCACTCCCCTAACTAGGCCTCAAACAACTGTGAGGTGAAGGAGAACTTTCATGGCTGTCAAAAATGGAGTGGAGGATGGAGTAATAGGGCACAGGGCATCCAAGAACTTGAGCAATGAAAAAAGTCCTTAGGAGAAATAGGAGCAACATAGGTGTTTGGTGTTTCCCCCTTTCCATTCCTACAAGTTGCATATCTGAGGAGACCAACAGATGTTGTTTTCTTCACACAGGCTCTAATTTACAGCAGTAACCAGGAAAGAGGAGGAAAAATGGGGGAAGAAAAGTGTTTACACAAAGGATTTTGTGTCATTTGCTCAGCCAACTGTTGCAGCCAGTGCTTTCTCACCATGCAATTTTTGTTTTCCTTTTAAAATGAATTAAAACCTCACCCTGTGCATTCATCATTTTCACTGAATACTGGGTGGGGAGGATAGCCACATGGATGACTTTCAGGGAAATCCCAACCTGAATTGGGCCAGAATCCAAATTTCTACTCAAAAACCAAAGACTCCAATGATCCCTCTAGTCCAGAAGTGTAGCCAGCCAGATGCCTCTGACATGCTTGCAAACAGGTTGTGAATGTACCCCCCCCAACCCAGCAAAATAAACCCACAAAAACACCACCAGTCTTTAGGGGTCCAGAGACATTTGGGGAATTGTTTTCTAAAAGGAAAATAAAAACATAGAATTAACTAGCTGAACTCTACTTATCAAGAAAGTTGCAGTGGAATATGAGAAGCCAACTGTTGCTGGATCAGGTCAAAGGCTCATCTAGTGCATCTGGTGGTGACCAACCAAATCCTAATAGAAAGCCCACAAGTAGGACTTGAGGGCAACAATACTGTCCCCATTTGGGATTTCCAGCAATTAATATTCGGAAGCACACAGCCTCCGACAGTGGAGGGAGAAGATAGCTTTCATGGTTAGTAACCATTTATTCCCCATGAATTTGTCTCATCCTCTTTTAAAGTCTTTCAAACACAGTGTTTCTAGTATTCCCCCCCCAAAAAAAATTCTAACAGCAAAGCAGTTGATTGTAAGAAGCTGGTATATCTGAAAAAGGTCTAAGATATTATTTTGCATGCCTTGTGTTTTTGTTTGTGGCAAACACACCTGAAACCTATTCAAATATTTGCAGTAAATAGAAGCGTTTCAGTGATTGGGAGCATTTGAATAACATTTTTATAATTGTTGGTCATAGAAACACATTGGACTGAGATGCATAATTAAAATGGAATAGCTTAAAAATGGTGGACTTAGCGATGATTCTCTACAAAAAGCAACTCAGACACAAAGAGAAATGGCAACATATTTTGAAGGTTATGTTGGATATTAACCTGCTTTGTGCAAAAAAAAAATTTTGTTCTTCAAGGCACTACAGCAACTGCCAGCGGTCTTAGCATAGGAATTTTTCTAAATCTCATTGAATTGATTAGCCATTATGATAATGAAGTCAACAGCCATTAGTGAAGTCATAAAAAGAGGACTGTAAACTATTGATCACATAACATCTATAAGGAATTCCTTGAATTATTGGAGGAAAACATTCGTATTGAGGTAATTTCTAGGATAAAAAAGGCAAAGTATTATTCCTTACCATTTGATTGTACTCCACATGTTTCTCACTGTAGGCAAATGTGCCAGATTATCAGGCAGGTCCATTCTGATACTGGAAACGTTTTGAGTGAGGAAAGTTTTGTAGAGTTCATTGAAACAAAACAGAAAACAAGAAGCACTTTAGTGGACGAAATCATGAACAAATTAAAACAAGACAGAACAAATATTAAAAATGCCTGAGGCCAAGGATACGGCAATGGGGCAAATACGTCTGCTGTGCACAAAGGTGCTAAAGCCCTTATAATAAAACAAAATGAATTTGGCAATGTCTATTATTTTACTACAATTGTTGATTTTTAACATGGCTTAGGGGCACATTTCATATCATTTGCCCAGTCATCAAGATATCCTTCTTGCAGTTCCTAAGCCCGTGGGCAGCAGATTTATTTGGCTGGGCACAGAGGGCACCTGGTTACATTCTTCACTGCTGTTTACATTATGGCAAATATTTCTAAATTTGTTTCTAAACACATACGCGGGCACACACACATTTTTTAATGAAAATTCATGTTTCCTTTTGTCCTTGTTTTTGGCAGTGTGTGAGTGGTCACTCTCCTTGGCTGTGAAGTCATAAATGTCATAGTGTGAAATGAGAATATGAAAATGATTCTTCTGTTCATGTACAGAATGCCTTTGCTGCAGAACCCTGCACTCAGCGTCAAGTTCCAGGCATCTGGGATTAGGAGGGAAGGGTTTCTCAGTTTGAGGTTGCAACTTGCAGGCCAGCCTGAGCCCCAGTGCCTCTGTCTTTAGGAAGAAGGCCCTGCCTAACTTGTGACCTGCCGGGCTGACAGCAACCCATCAATCAAACATGTCATCCTTATCAAGAGTTTCACAAACCTCTTCCTTCTGTTGCTGGTGCAAAATCATTGGAGAGGAAAGCAGGCTGCTAGGAACTCTGTGTTTGTAAGACTGGCTCATGCGTTTTTCTGCTTCCCTCTTCAATATGTTTTCTTTTCTTTTTATGTAATGCTTTTCAGATTGTAGGTTTGCAGGCAGAAATTTTCTTGTTTTTAATCTGTGAACAGCACTTAGTAAATTTCAAGCACTAACATAATATTTTTAGAAGCACCAGTAATGGCTGGTGGGATGCATTTTGCTTGGTAAACACTGCTAAGTAGAAGAACACCTCCCTCCCCCCCCCTCTCATACACAACAACTCTGTTTATCCAAATGTTCTGGCATGTACTTTGATGTCTCTGTGAGCAACACTTTATTTCTTTATCCAATTTCTGAGTGCGCCAATATTTTAGATCCCACTCCGTTACCCTCTGGCAATTTGGATAAAAAAGGTGGCACTATGTACGGTTGCCAACTTTCCACCCCCTGCCTTGCCTGGTTCATGTGCCTTTAAAACAGCTTGGCATGCAGATAGTTATCAGAAATTTAAAGTGGGAAACTCTTTGCTGTTTCATCCTCAGGCTGTTAGGAAAGGTACAGGAGCAGAACCAGTAAAACAGCAGGCAACTCTTCCACCACTGGGCCTTGAATGCTCTCTTAGGTATATTGATTGAAAATGTGGCAGAAGCTGTTGCTCTTGATTACAGGGCCATGTGTGCTTACATGGTTGCTATGAAGATGAGATTCCAAGCCATCCCAACTCATTGTGAAGGTTCTATTGATGCTCTTTGACTGCCTGGACTACGTTGGAAAGGCATTTTGCCTCAATTTCAGTGATCTTTGACAGTGACTTACCACTCCTACCATTCCGATTCATGGAATATTTATTTGATTCTTACTAATTTGTGACTCCATGCACGTATTATATGTCTTCTGTTTATGAATTTTGAAACAGTATAGTGTTATAAAAATATTGTCAGTATATTATTAGCCGCCATGTTGCTTGTTGTTGTTCAGAGTGTTCTGTTTTGCAACACAGGATATTTTCTTTGGTGGTCTACATTACTGGCAGACAGAGCCGTCTTTCCCATAGGGCTTAGTGGTGCGTCGTGCCAGGGCGCCAGCCTCTCAGGGGCACCCCAGTGAGTGGGGGAGCTGTGCAGCTTTGCTGGTGGCCTCCCCTTTCCCTGCACGCCCGCCAGCTGTGCCCCGCCAACCATATGACTGGCGGGCATGCAGCTTACCTCCCAAGCCTGTGCGGGAGGAGAGTGATCCCTGCAGAGGCTTAGGATGGAAGCTGCACCCCGCCAACCATATGGCTGGCAGGTGCGCAGCTTCCCTCCCAAGCCTGTGCGGGGATCGCTCTCCTCCAGTGGAGACTTGGGAGGAAAGCTGCGTACCTGCCAGCCAAATGTTTGGCAGGGCACAGCTTCCCTCCCAAGCCTCTGCGGGGATTGCCCTCCTGCAGCAGCATGGGGGAGAGTTGCGCCCCCAATGGCTGGCAGTCCGCAGCTTCCCCCCACTATCCATGGTAATTTTGGGGCACTGGGAGGATATTTGCACCCTGGCACCGCATTTGCTAAAGACGGCCCTGCTGGCAGAAGCACCTTTGGGCGATTACACTGGTCAACAGCAAATTTGTTGTCTGCGTTTTTTCTATTGATTTAGGACGAATCTGATGAGCTGAATCCAAAAATCACTTTGGTTTTGCTCAATCAGGTCAAGTTTTTGAGCTATGGCCACATGTCTTTTTTTACGTTTTTGTTCACATGTACGCTTGTGTGGAGCATTTTAGAAGAAGTTGGTGGGGGTAAAATGCCATGTCGAATAATTATTTTGATTAGAAATGATTATTTTAATGACAAGAAGTATTCAGGTCCAATAGTTCTGGGTGATTATGTCAAAAAGGGATCAGTTTGAAGTCATAAAACCTCAAAATCTTCCATAAATTGGTGCGGCAAAGCATAAAGTTGGGGGATCAAAACTAAGTTAATGGGGCAGCTGCCCCACGAAGAATTGTCAAAGGACTCTGCCGAACTGTTGGCATCCAGATTGAAGGAAAAAAACCTCCTCTCTGACAGTGCTCGCATCAGCTTCTTCCGCAACAGGCATCAAGAGTACCTCCGTTTTTTCTCGGAAGAGAAGGACTTGGTGTACTGTGCAGATATTGCGCAGCTTCTGCTCAAGCTTGGAGTGCCACAGTACAAACCCAAAGATTGGAGACTGTTCATTGACAGCAGCAAGCGATCACTGAAATGTGTTCTGCTACACAACGGCAACCAGTTTGCCTCTATACCCCTGGCTCACTCGACTACACTGAAGGAGAACTATGAAGCGCTGAAGTATGTGCTGGAGAAAATTGGTTATGATCAGCATAAGTGGTTTATTTGTGTTGACCTGAAGATGGTGAACTTTTTGTTGGGACAATAGTCTAGCTTCACCAAGTACCCATGTTTTCTGTGCATGTGGGATAGTAGGGACCGTGCTCAGCATTACACGAAGAAGGACTGGCCTGTGCGGGAGGAATTGGTGCCTTGCAGAGAAAGGAACGTCATCAACGACCCTCTGGTGGACAGAGACAGAATACTCTTCCCACCGCTGCACATCAAGCTCGGCTTAATCAAGCAGTTCACCAAGGCTCTGGACAAGGATGGTGACTGCTTCACTTACTTGTGCCAGGCTTTTCCAGGATCGACCATGGAGAATTTGAAAGCTGGCATCTTTGACGGTCCTCAGATCCGTCAGCTCATCAGAGATCCAGAGTTCGGAAACTCAATGACCGAAGTGGAACTGGAAGCGTGGAAGGCATTTGTTCTGGTAGTGAAGAACTTTCTTGGCAACAATAAGGCCAGCAACTACGCAGAACTTGTCAACAACATGCTGACTGCTTTCAGAAACCTGGGCTGCAACATGAGCGTCAAGATGCACTAGCTATTTTCACATATCGACCAGTTTCCTGAGAACCTGAGTTCAATGAGTGACGAGCAGGGGGAGAGATTCCATCAGGACATGATAGAGATGGAGACCAGGACACAGTCATGATGGCTGACTACTGTTGGACTCTGAAGAGAGACCTCCCTGCCGCTGAGCATTCCAGGAGTTCCAAGAAACGGACGTTCAAGCCCTGAAGTTTGAAAAATGGTGAAGCAACATGCAATTTACGTGTACTTACTTTTATCAATGCCCACCATTCAGTATACAGTAATCAATGTTTCTATCAGGTAATCAATATATGTTGTTGGAAAAACATTTTTTTCTCTTAAAAACATATTTAGGATGATATGTGTTGACAAAAATCAGCTGATAATTCCACAAAAATGTAATCGATTTTGTCACAAAATCTGATTTTTTTTTCAAATACACAGCAGAAAAACCTGACCTGATGGAGAGAAACGGATGCCATTTCCTGATTCAGCAGTGCAAAAATACCCTAAATCAGTTGTAGAAATCTAGACAACATTCAAAAAGTAAAAAATTGTTGCCCAGTGTTATTGCTATTGCCAAGTTTCCTGCTGCTTGGCTGCCTGTGACTGTCCTGGTCCACTATTGCCACATCTGTGAAGGAGAAACAGTTTGAAATGAGTGCTGATCACCCAGCCCCAAAGACGTCTGGTGGAAATAGACCGCTGGGAATTGAATCATGGAAGCCAGTTATGAGCATTTGAGAGCATGGTCCAGGTGGGCACAAGAAACTCATCCCGATCCAGAAATGTGGCGAACTGAATTTAAGTTGGAAAAATGAGAAGCCGAGAGAAAATGAAATGGACAGATTAGCCCATTCTTAACTACAGCGTGGCAGGGGGTCTCAACCCACCAGTTGATGGTGAAAGGTCATGGAGAGCAAAGCAAGAAGGGGTTAAAAGGTTCTGGTCTTGCTCCAAACCTCAGCTTAAGCACCCACAGAGGTCAGCTGTGGGTGAGATGGAAAGGCAAGGCAGATGAAACAGAGGAAGGCATCAACTGCTATTGTTCTGCTTGCATCATTAAAGCTTTCAGAAGGGAACCACGCTGTGCTAACAGGACTGGAATTTCCCATTAGTCAAACTAGCAGCCGTGAACATTAATAAGGTGCATGTTTAACAAAATATCTCTCCCCCTCCTTCTCCCCCTTCGCCCCTCCTCATTCTAAGGAACAGGTTGCAATTAAACCCCTGCTCTTTAAATGCAAGCTCAGAGAGAGGAAAAATTGGTATAAAATATGAAAAGGCCCGGCTCCTCTCTAATATTCACCGTAATGAGATAAACTTAATTGAACATTTTACAATGTCATCCTCATTTCCCTTTTTAATTAGGTCCTTCTTCCAGAACAACATTAGACCATATGATTGCGAGCCGTTCGTTATGGAAAGCGCCACAAACGAAAATTAGCAAGGGGTTAAGAAGGCACCAAAGGGATGCTCCGCCAGAGCTTTTAGAAACCCATTAGAAGCAGAGTGCTGGGAAAGGGGAAGAGGCGAGGCTAAAGCTCAGCCAGGTGCTTTGGCTGTGCCTTCCCCCAACCAGGCCTTTCCTCTGATCCAGACCTGCGGGTCTCTATCAGGTCAGCACTGCAATCACCAGGGCTAGGGAGAGCTGGGTGGATTTCAAAGGGGTTTGAAATGATGATGCCAGGAGGGACTGGCAATGAGGGGGGCATGATGAATATCTGCAGATTATTACCTCCTAAAGTGAACCCCACCTATTTGCTGCTGTAAGCTTGTGTCCTAAAATTAAGTTTGTGCCTGTTTTAGTCAGAGCTGCATGTATGTATGTGTGTGTGTGTGTGTGTGTGGTGGGAAAACAGTGGCTCAGTCGTGCAAGCTGTCACACAATGAAGCCAAGTGCATATGTTCTGCACAGTGGGGGCTCACATCTTTGCACACAATTCCGCTAATGGCGCAGATGCTGTCAAGGCTGCTGGGTGACAAACATCCCTGTGCCTTTGAGGGCAAGGCTGCACATCACATGCTAATGTGCATGACGGCAACCGAAAAGTCCCCCTTTCCAATATTTAAGTAGGAAAAACGTCACCAGGAAGGGGAGTTTGGGATCATGGATGTAGCAAAAGATGGGGGAAACTCAACTCTTTTGACACCTATTTCTCCAAACATTCCCCAAGCAGCTTTTCTGTCTCCCCTTCATGTAGGGTTGCCAGTGTGTCTCCCCCTCCAGAAAAGGAAAAGACTTTGGGGAGGGGGCTGTTAGGAATGGAGAAATGCCAGGCATGGAAATGGTGAAGCACTCCTCCCCTTCACTGTTCCTGTGATCCCAACTGTCACCTAAATAATAATAATAATAATAATAATAATAATAATAATAATAATAATAAGTTGACCTCAAGCTGTATTTTTATTTTATATATTTTTATTTTCAAAGATTTTTATACAGTGGTACCTTGGGCTAAGTACTTAATTTGTTCCGGAGGTCCGTTCTTAACCTGAAACTGTTCTTAACCTGAAGCACCACTTTAGCTAATGGGGCCTCCTGCTGCCACCGCGCTACCGGAGCACGATTTCTGTTCTCATCCTGAAGCAAAGTTCTTAACCCGAGGTACTATTTCTGGGTTAGTGGAGTCTGTAACCTGAAGCGTATGTAACCCGAGGTACCACTGTACAGAAAAAAAATCATGGCATTAACATTATAAAATCAACAATAAAATTGCACCCATAAAACAAAAACAGA